ATTTAATTTTTGTTGAGACTCAATTTTTAACTTTCTGCCTTGATAAACAGTGCATTTACACACCTCCACTTCAACCAGGTCCCCTTTACTCTTTCGGTGTTATTGTTATCATTGTTTGATAATATCAGAGATAGTGATATTTTTTAATTTTTAGAGATTTTTGATATAAAGGGAGTCGCGATTTTCAGTAACTAGTTGTTCAATTTTAAATATTTGATTCACAGCGAATCTCTTTAAAATATTTTGAAAGAATGTAAATATACGTGGTTCCTATCTCGTGTGTTCTTGGAACTTCTCGATTTTTCTCATCACCGTCTACATCGGTGAATTTGTATTTTTGTGATTCTTCTTTAAATTTTAAGTTGTTCGATTTTTCTTTTTAACTAGTTTTAGCGTGCAGGAGCTCTGGGACTAGCAAATTTTGCTACTAACTTAAGCTTTATCACTTAGGGCACCAGTGGTCCGAGATTGCTTGAAACACGTTGAATTTTCCGGCCTCACGATCGATGTCTTTTGATCACTTTTTGAATAATCTTGCATCCAGTATTTGGCGCTGTTGGAAATTTCTGTACTATTAATCTTATTAATATCCGTCATTCATTTGGGCGAGTGAAGGGGGTGAGGAGGGGCTCCGTGTAGATGAGGGGACGAATAGAACACAGTCACGGCTTAATAAATGAGAAGGTAAGGGAGTTGAACTGGGAAATGAACTTTTGTTTTTTCCAGACAGTTTTTGATTGCGGTTTTTCTAAATTTTTTGAATTCTCCCTATACAAGTCCACAACTTTCCAGGAACAATTTTCGATTATTGAATAGCAATGGCATCTCAAACACAGGGCATCCAGCAGCTTTTAGCAGCAGAAAAGCGAGCAGCGGAGAAGATCAACGAAGCCCGGAAACGTAAAGCACAGCGTCTGAAGCAAGCGAAGCAGGAAGCGCAAGCTGAGATTGAGAAAACCCGTCTGGTAAGTCTGTACTTTTGCTGGCACTTCAGCTTCGCCGTTCCACAACTCCAATGCAAAAAACACTTGATCGCGCGGGCAATTCTGGTGCAGTTGCAGTCTTCGGGTTACATAAATAATATTCCATGCCACAACCGTTGTACTGGTGCAGTTGCGGAGCTAAACTTAGACGCATATAGCGTAATGAACCGAAACGTCTTAAACAGTGCCATGTTAGTGATATTATTAGGGTGTTTCCACATATTCAGACTAGCAGTACCAGGCCTTCTTCCTCCTCCTCCTTCTTTTTCCCACCTCCAAATCTGCACTGCATGCATCCAGTTAGCATTCATCGTCAGTTTGATGTATGTGTGTGTGTGTGTGTAAGCACAGCTTCCGAAATGCTAAAGATTTTTGAATTACACAATGGAAGGACTCTCGAATTTATCGAGGACCAGCTCTCGTCTCGTTCGAGCTTTTTCTCATGATTCTTGATTTCCCATTCTTGACTGTCAATTGGTTTTTATCTCATCTATCGGTCTCGTACAGAACTTCGTCCTTTTTCAATATCCCTCGAAAAACTTCTATTACATTTTTTATTCTTTTAAAGCGCGACAGACATTCACAGTGCTTAAGTGTGAAGCAATATTGCTTTGAATTCAGCGCCAGCTGTGCGTGCTTCTCAAGTACGGGCCTT